GCAATATCACGGCAGGGGACACCAGAAGTGGGCTTCACACTTTGTAACCATGTGTGGAATTGAACCATGGTCTTTAGCATGGCGAGGGACCGTTTTAACCACCTGGCTACCCTACCACCCTATATGAGTAAGGTTTTACACCGCTTTTAGCAATGTTCCAGCAACACTTAGGTGGGGTGGAGGGATGGGAGGGAGACACCAGAATACAAAATAGGGTCCCAGAGATATGGGCAACAATGTACGCAGTACTCTATGTACTCTATGTACTCCATAATCTGCAGTACTCTGCCACAAGTGATATAAGGCTGTTAGTTGAAAACAGATAAAGTTCCTTAAGTGCTAGCACTAGAAGGTCGTGGACTATTTGACTGTGTATTGTATTTTTTCATAATTACATAAGGAACAGTAATGTTTGGTCGTACCAAATTCTTAAATCGCAAAATGCATTCATAAACATGCTTACAATTTTTTTGTGCGTCTGTTTTCAATTTTTATGGAATGGACACCAAGAATAGGCTTTACATGGTGTACCCACATGAGGAATAGAACTGTGTTTTCAGTGTGCTAACACATTAACCACTTGGCTAGCCCCCACACCAAACAGGCATGTAATAACTGAAGTGTTCAATGTCCAAACAGTGATATACAACCCCTAAATAACCTGACATTCTACAAGTCCCTTAAGGCATTTTACATCCCTGCCAATTAATATCGACAAACAGAGCAATCTTACAGCAACTTAACCCGAATCAACATCATTAATTGATGTTTCATATTCAAACACAGACTGTGTGCATGAGAAGCAAACACATCCCCCACTGGGCTATCCTACTGCTTCATCATTCAATGAGTAAAGTCAACTTGTGTCAAAAACAAAGAAGATACAATAGGCAGCTGGAGCCGCAGCTATGCTTTTTTTTTATTCAAACATAATTTAGAAATACAAACTTAACAAAATCCCAAAATTCTAGACTCAAATAACTGTGAAAACGTTTGTCCAAACATAAGAGTGGGTATCATTTTCAACAATTGACATGCATGTAGAACTTTCCTCCACCTCCGCAAAACAAACAATGAGAATCTGTCACATGTGCTGAGTGACCAATGGCAGTGTTTGTAGGAGATTACTGCGAGACTACTCTGAGATTACTGCAGGACTGCCATCTCGCCTGCACTGCCACATGTGACCTCACACACCAGATTATCACCACATTCCCGCATCTGATTCCAAAAATATATCCCAAAGCAGAATTGAGAAGGAATTCCATTGATACTTCTATAGCCCTATCTTGTGGCATCCTCGGAACGCTTTACTCTTAGCTATAAAGAATTCTTTGTTAGATTAAAACTACATATTTTGCACTTCATCTGCTAACCCTGTGAGGTTGAACAACTCAAGTCTTGACCTGTTGAGCATGAAGTGCATTGGCTCTGGACAGCCAATGAAGGGATTTTAATAATTCATAAAATAACAACTGCCTAAGGAAAGTTTCCTGTTTATAAGAACAAAAAGGAAGCAATATTAATTTGCAAAACTTCATCAAATCAATATTCCAAGCATTTGTGCCTGGAACAAGCTATTATTTGACAGTGAGAGCATTAAAACACTCTGTAAACTGACACATGATCGGCTCATCATTAGCTGGGATGACCACAGGCAGTGAGTGTTCAAAATGAAAGTGATTTCAATTGATCCTGCAAACTCAGAAGACAATTTGGAGAATTATTCCATGGAAACCTGTTGAGAGTGAAAGTGAGTGAGTGAGTGAGTGAGTGAGTGGGTGAGTGGGTGAGTGAGTGAGTGAGTGAGTGAGTGAATGTATGAGTGAGTGAGGGGAGGTGTTTGAGTGAGTTGGTGAGTGAGTGACCGGGTTGGTGGGTTCATGGGTGAGTGAGTGAGTGGGTGAGTGTGTGTTGGGGGAAACTTGATGTTGGTCACCATGAGCAAAGGTACAGCAACTAAGTCATTCGTCACCACTCGCCCCTTTCCGTAACCCGCAAGAAGACTCGTCCCCCTATCGATGAATGTTATGTGCGAAAATACGACAAACCAATCAGAATGCGCGTATGATTTCAAGTTCTTCGTCAAAGAATCCCTCAGAAATAATTATTGATTTTACATATGTCTTGCCTCTAAAATATACCAAAGACACAATTAAATGTGTTTAATCATACTGTATAATTCCGCACGTCCTGGTGTGCTTTAAATTGCATCTGACATATGTATATAATATATGGGGAAAATGTGTGAACCATAACACAACGAGTTGACAATTGTTTTAGGTATGCCCGTTTGCGCTAAGACGGAACCCGGTCGCAAAAATGGCCACGAGAGGGGCACGAGTCGCTATTCGGCTTGTCCGGGGATAACACGAGTTGGTCACGAATGCAACTAAGTTAATGTCATCTAGTGGCAACTCATGACGGTAATTTTAACTAATTTAGGGAGCCCAAGCCCACTAAGTAATGTAGTGATTCCATTTCATAAAGTGTTTTAAATAGCTACCTGCCCATCATTCAGTGGCAAGTTGTATTTGAGGTTTGCTGCAGTAGGTCTGTAATTTACAACATTAGTGTTATGACTTGGATCCTTGTCCTTATCATTAATTCCGTACCAATATTGTGCAAATCACCAGTAAGCCACCCAGTCACAGAACTTTGCAGGGATGTCACAGTGATTTTACAACTGCTTCAACGCGTTGTATCACAAGTCCTCATCAAGACAAAATTACAAGAGTTATCTCCCATAACCAATCAAGAAAAGAAGCTCAATAAAATCCTCTTCTTGACATCCTTTCATGAGTACAAATTGTGTAAAGAAAGTCAAAACTTTCCTTTTGTTTGTTTGTTTGTTTGTTTAATGCCTCAATATTCTAGCTATATGATGGTGGTCTGTACATAATCAAGTCTGGACCAGATAATCCAGTGATCGAAATCATGAGCATCAATCTAAGCAATTGGATACGATGACATGCATCAACCAAGTCTGCGAGCAAGACCACCAGATCCTGAGGATCACTGGGAGTTTGGGGTATATTGTTTTCATGGTCGGTATGAGAAACTAGCTGCATCCCTGGGATCTACCCTGTAGTGGATGCTGGGATCTACCCTGTAGCTGATGCTGGGATCTACCCTGTAGTGGGGGATCTACCCTGAAGAGGATACTTGGGTCTTCCCTGAAGAGGATACTGGGGTCTACCCTGAAGTGGATGCTGGGATCTACCCTGTAGCGAGGGATATACCCTGTAGTGGGTGCTGGGATCTACCCTGTAGTGGATGCTGGGATCTACCCTATAGTGGGTGCTGGGATCTACCCTTTAGTGCGGGATCTACCCTGAAGTGGATGCTGGGATCTACCCTGTAGTGGATGCTGGGATCTACCCTGTAGTTGATGCTGGGATCTACCCTGTAGGTGCTGGGATCTACCCTGTAGTGGGGGATCTACCCTGTAGTGGATGCTGGGATGTACCCTGTAGTGGATGCTGGGATCTACCCTCTAGTGGATGCTGGGATCTACCCTGAAGTGGATGCTGGGATCTACCCTGTAGTGGATGCTGGGATCTACCCTGTAGTGGGTGCTGGGATCTACCCTGTAGTGGATGCTGGGATCTACCCTGTAGTGGATGCTGGGATCAACCCTGTAGTGGGGGATCTACCCTGTAGTGGATGCTGGGATCTACCCTTTAGTGAGTGTTGGGATCTACCGAGGATGCTGGGATCTACCCTGTAGTGGGGGATCTACCCTGTAGTGGATGCTGGGATCTACCCTTTAGTGAGTGTTGGGATCTACCCTGTAGTGGATGCTGGGATCTACCCTTTAGTGAGTGCTGGGATCTACCCTGTAGTGGATGCTGGGATCTACCCTGTAGTGGATGCTGGGATCTACCCTGTAGTGGGTGCTGGGATCTACCCTGTAGTGGGGGATCTACCCTGTAGTGGATGCTGGGATCTACCCTGTAGTGGATGCTGGGATCTACCCTGTAGTGGATGCTGGGATCTACCCTGTAGTGGGTGCTGGGATCTACCCTGTAGTGGGGGATCTACCCTGTAGTGGGTGCTGGGATCTACCCTGTAGTGGATGCTGTAGTCTAATGTAGTAGTGGGACGATACATTGATGCACTGATGGATCACGATTTTTTACTTCTTGATAGAACTTTATACTTCAAGAACTGATCACAGTCGCACAATAAGTAAAAAATATTGATTCATACCTTTAACGTTTTCTCGAATAACTGTAACACAGAGCACTAATTAGTAGTGAAAACTTATATGTTTTCATCCATGGCGCCATACTTGACACTGCCAACTGTAAATTGTCAGCATGCCAGGTATTTGGCCTTTCTGTTTATGAAAAAGATGGCTTACGTATCACTGATAAGAGCACATACAAGTATCATGATATGTATCGGATCGTGAGCAAGGTATTGTGATATGTATCGGATCGTGAGCAAGGTATTGTGATATGTATCGGATCGTGAGCAAGGTATTGTGATATGTATCGGATCGTGAGCAAGGTATTGTGATATGTATCGGATCGTGAGCAAGGTATTGTGATATGTATCGGATCGTGAGCAAGGTATTGTGATATGTATCGGATCGTGAGCAAGGTATTGTGATATGTATCGGATCGTGAGCAAGGTATTGTGATATGTATCGGATCGTGAGCAAGGTATTGTGATATGTATCGGATCGTGAGCAAGGTATTGTGATATGTATCGGATCGTCAGCAAGGTATTGTGATATGTATCGGATCGTGAGCAAGGTATTGTGATATTTATCGGATCACACAGTGGGTGTATCGTCCCAGCCCTTGTTTCACCGTATCCTGAAGGGCCAGTGAAGGACGTCCGCAATGGGAAACATCCCTACAGCCAGCAACAGCTTGACACACTTGGCGACACCATCACCCACAGATTAACTTTAATCATTGTATTCCTTTTCAGATCATTGAAACTTTCACCTCTTGGGTGTAAAGGCATTCAGAATTCAGACAACTTACCCGATCTTCCCGACTAAACTGCTCGGATACTGAATGTCGAAAGCGCACTTCTTGTACATGAGACTGTGACTTGGATGTGACCATGCTGACGGGGCGGTCGCTGTGGGTGGGGGAACTGCCGTTACACATGAACCTCCGGTCAATCTCATCCTTCAGGGCAGTCACTGGCGAACCTTTGAATTTGTTTGAATTATTCGAGTTATCCAGCGACTCTCGGATAGCTGCCACCGTGAGGGAGTGATGTGGGGAGTTGTGGGATGGCACTTGTGGAGGGGTGGAGTTGCGCTTAGATGCTGCCAGTTGTAAGGCTGACCTCGGTGTTGCAATCTGATTGGTGGAGTTGGATGTTGGGGGCGGAGACTCTGTGCGTCTGTGAACTGGGGACGAGGGGTCAGTGACTGGTGACCGATGACGAACACGCTCAACGATTTGCTTGGCCTGTGAAAACATAACATATAAGTATCAAATATTTCATCTTAAGTAATGTGAAACCAATATCATGCATGTCTCTTTTCAAAGAATTTCTTGGTCAGTTTGCAAAGAGACAGGAGGCAGGTTCATTTGACGTTAATTTCCTATAAAATGTTTCAAAATATCTTTTGAAACAAAAACACAAACATAGTATATATTCTCAAAAAATAAGAAACACAAAATATAAATTCACTTTTCCAAATTTTACAGAATTTGTCCACAAAACAAGATGATATTTCAGGCCTACATATATATAAATAGAAAGCAGTCCACAAAAATATCTCGTTTCTAAATAAACTTTCAAAGACACCTCAAAACAGTAACCTAAATGATTCCCAATCATGCTATTCTTCTCCCGTGTATATGAAATGCACAAATATGTAGTGTCTGTATGTAATTACTGATGACATCATCACATGAGCCAGTGATTCAGTGATCAAGGATGCAGGTGACAGGGCTTGGTGATCGTCTATTCAGCATGGAGGGCTGCACATCACATTACATACTGGTACTGCCATGGCTTTCTGTGATATCCACCTACAAGGCCTGATGCACGATAGGAAGAAGCGCAATGCACAGTGTTCCCGTTTAACGGTAATTACAATTTTTTTCCGGTAAAATAAGCCTGGACCGGTAATTTATGTGACTGCCAGTCCCTGTGGACCGGAAAACAAAGTACCTTATCAATCTTTGTTGTTGAAGAAAACATTGGCCATATTCATATAAGTATATTTTTCTCTTGGGGGAAAGTCTCTTGGGGACTGGTTATTTTTAGAGTTGCCAGTCAGTCCACCAGGACTGGCAGTTTCAAAAGACTGCAGGAACACTGAATATATCATATCTGACTTATCTGCTTATATCTAGAACTGGCTATCGATATAGACCAGAGATATCGATAATCGCTAACTAAATATCGATCTATTATTGATTGATATTGGAGAAGGAACTCTAAGCAAAGATGCAAGAAAGTCCTGAAAGAAATCAACAGATTTCACGCCACATGTGAGCTGTGACACATTTATGCATGGATTACTGTGTGAACATTTGAGGTATAACAAAAACAGCTGCTTACCATCTTCGACAACTGACATTATTGGCAATGACATGTCTATTTGGGTAAATCTAAACTTTATTTCATCACATTAGTGTATTGGCTAGGGGCAGGTGGGCATGTTTTTGTTATTTTTTATGATACTGTGTGTATCTGTTCAAACAAACAAAGCATTTCACCAAAATTACATGTCAAATATATTTTCAAAATTAACTCATAAACACTGTAACAGAACACCACTCACAAATGAATCGCCACTGAAGACTAAATCGAATACAAAACAGTCTATCTAAAAGCTGCAGGATTAAACAGTGTCATACTCAAAGCTGTAGACCACACCGCCCTCTATACTCTGCACCTATATCATGAGTGAGTTGGTTGCCGCTGTGAACAGTATTTCAGTTATACCGCGTGTCCGCTTGATGTGGGAGGAAAACACGAAGTGATGCAGGTCCAAGACATGTACCACTTTGGTGTACCCCATGTGCATAATATGGCGCTGACTTTAATAAAAACATAAATACAAATCTTTGATTTGAACCCACAAACAGCGCATCATGGCACGCCTAAGGGAAGCAACTCTGCCAAGCACATTCACACGTCTTAGATGGTAGGGCGTCCCTTACCCACTGCAGATACAAGAGGACTTGATACAGTGTATGTTTAGTACTGCAAAGCTATGATGTCAAATACTGCAAGGTAAGCAGAGCCACTGACTTCTACAGGAACTGAGTTCAGGGTCATGTTTTAACAGATTAAGCTTTTCAAATATTAGCATTATGCCACACAAAAATGAATGTTTTAATCACACACTATGAAAATGTTGTCTTAATTTCTCCTAGAAAATGTGAGTCATCTAAGAGAATACCTTTAATTCATTTATTTGAAAATTACAAGTACCGTATTCGACGTAATAAGCGCCCAGGGCGCTCTCAAAATTAGAAATAGGGGGCACTTATGAGAATATTAATTTGGTGAAAAAAACAGAGTTGAAAGATAAATTTCGTGGTTTATGCTGACAGCCTGAAATGTTTATCTACGACAGATATATTTTTTCCGAATTTAATTACCCATGATTAAGGGTGCATATAACACACGAGTGAGTATTATACGCGAAAAAATAAGTCTTGTGTACAATGATCAATAGGAAGGGGTGCCAACTGGGATTGTTCACTAGCCAATATATTACCAAATATCGCTGTGGGCGCTTATTAGAACGGGTCGCTTATTACGTCGAATACGGTATATTAATATGCACAGTTTAGGATATACTGTGTGCATTAGGATATTCTAAAGTCTTAGAACTAAACAGTTTGGACAGTCATAGGTGTGAGTGAGTAAGAGAGATTACTTTAACCTGCGACCCGTGAAGATCCGGGGTAGAATGGGTCTTCAGCAACCCATGCTTGCCGTAAAAGGCGACAATGCTTGTCGTAAAAGGCGACTAACGGGATCGGGTGGTCAAGCTCGCTGACTTGGTTCATGCATGTCATTGTATCTCAATTGTGTGGATCGATGCTCATGATATCAATCACTGGATAGTCTGGTCCAGACTCGATTATTTACAGACCGCCGTCATATAGCTGCAATATTGCTGAGTGCGGCGTTAAACAACAAACCAACCAACTTTAACCTGCTTCAGAGTTTTTAGTTATATCACAGCATCAGCTAGATGTGGGAAGTGATGCAGGTCTCAGACATCGACCACTTTAGTGAAACCCATTAGAATGGATAAGGTACTAAGTAAGGATAAGATATATGGATGAACAACTTCTATATTAAAATTAAGAGGGATGTTATCACTTGTTTGATAGCGGTATTCAAAACGTCGCTCCTAATTGTAATAAAGAATTTGTTCATCCATATATCTTATCCTTACTTAGTACTCCCAACTTCTAAACGCCCGGGCGGTCGGGTAGCCTAGTGGTTAAAGCGTTCGCTCGTCACGCCGAAGACCCGGGTTGGATTCCCCACATGGGTACAATGTGTGAAGCCCATTTCTGGTGTTCCCCGCCGTGATATTGCTGGAATATTGCTTAAAGCGGTGTAAAACCATACTCAATCACTCACTCACTCACTCTAAATGCCCCTCACAGAAGGGTCTGGTGCTGACAAACCTAGACACAGAATCAGGACAAATCTTGGATTTGAACACATGTTGGTGCACCAAGGAATGCAACAGTGTATTGTGGTTTAATGGATGACTGGGCCACCAGGGCTGCCTATTTCAAGACTGTAAACTAACATTTAAACCTGATCAGCCCCTTTCATAGCAGTGAATTTTCATTTAGTATCATTTTTCATAAATGTATATCGATACAGCATTGACATATTCAAAATTTTCCAACACATAGATGCCCGATATACGATGACATCCCTATGAAAAAGGTCCTGATATTTTTTTCTCAATTCTAATGATGTAGGTATAAATCCCAAGCCTGATATTAGCAACATACTTGGCAAGGGCGGATCCAGCATTTTGAAAAGGGAGGGTTCCAAAATATAAAAAATCCTCTCTCTTTGATGGTCTACAACACACTTCATCTGGTTTTCAAAAAGGGTGTGTGCCTGTACTGGGCATAACTCATGGTGTCTACCTTTCACACAAACTCTGAGAAGAAGATAATACGACAAACCAGTCATCTCAGAATTTAGTTTTGAATTCATGTTTGCATATACTAATGGTAACCTTCTATAAATCCATTAAGGTTGAGATATAGAAATTTCTGATGGCATTGCATTCTCCACTGGATTCGTCAGTTAGGTGAATTTAAGTCTTAACATAAACATAACTGAATCTGGCTAATAAAATATTATCACTGTCAACTGGTCCAGCAGAAAACCATACCATAAAGACACCATGGGCACACACAGACATGAACCAGAACACATATCACAACACAGGGGAGTTCAGGAAGAGAGTGGGTCAAAGGGAGATAACTCTGTCCAAATAAACAGAGTTTGAAAGTCAAGAAATTTAACTTAAACCAGACAATTTACATGATCCCAAATAGAACTTACAGGCTATACCCAAACAATAATGGTAAATACTGACCTCAAAATGTTTTAAATCTGATAAATATTTCAACACCAGGAAAACAGACAGGCCAAATTTAATCTAATGAGAAAAAGTTCTGGAGAGGATGGTGAAAACTGAAAAGTGACGTGAACAGCAAAATAAAGTGATGCATATACATTGATGATCATATATTCATGAAGATATCAGTCATGTGATCATGTAATAACCCCAAGTGATATCAAGCATGTTCTATGTATGATATGAAGTATATGACAGAAGCAGGTCATGCGATACGGGAAGAGAAGGGAATACGAGTCGACATATACTACCTTCTTAGGACTGCGTAATGAGAGCTGCAATAGAAACTCAACCTTGACAGACACATGCCTAAACAAGGTCACATGACGTCCAAACAACACATGCGCAAACAACACGTGAACTTTGTGTCGTTTGTAAATGTTTCAAAACGTGTATGCAGAATTTCAAATAGTTTTGTGATGTAAATATGGATTAATTTGTGCATGAACAAAATCAACATTTCGAAAAAAAATATTTTAGGTGTTATTATATGATCATGTAAACAGGTGCAAGAAATGTAAATATATTGCCAGAAACATGGTACAGGAGAAGGTCCAGAGAACAAACAAGGTATCTCAGATGGAATATTCTCAGCAAGACATGCCACTGGGAGAGAAAGAAGGAATCGATTCTTGGACAAATGTACAGAAGGGAGAAATCAAGCCGTTCAAAGTTACATCTCTATAGAGGATGTAACCATTTACTTGAATGTCACATCATCAGCTTTATCAGCGGTACACGACTGACTGGCCATACCAAACTCAGCCGAAAACATTTCATTTACAAGTCGATTCCTTCATGTTTATGCAAAATGGGTTTTTGTTTTCATAAAAGTAGTCTGTGCCAAAATCTTTGAGTCTCCTTGGCCAAACTTGGCTCTAAGCATCATTTTTCGAAAATTTTAGTACAGTAAACTACGTTTATAACGAACATGCTTATATGATTTGTTATTGCTGTGTATATGCTTATAACGGACAACGGTTAAATAACGAACTAAAATTAGGGTCCCTTTTGAGTTTGTTATAACCGTAGTTTACTGTATTATCATATGGTCTATAAGCTTATGTTCCTATACTGACCTGAATTTTACAAGACAAGACTAGTGGCTAATCGCAGACTTAAATTAATATTTTGGACAGGACACATTAAGCCCCAGAATAAACAGCAAGACTGTGGCTACTATGTTCAATCTGTACCACATTTCAACATGCTCAGTGTTGGAACTACTCCAAGGAAGATGTTGAAGCATTCATTGACTCCACCTACCCAGACTTTGTTCTTGCCGACCACGTACTCTCGTTCTCGCTCGGCCTGCTGTTGTTGTTGTAGCTGCTGCTGTTGCTGTTGTAGCTGCTGCTGTTGCTGCTGCAAACTCTCGTCGCTGATCTGTCGTCTCATCTCCATCCTCTGAATGGCTTTCTCGGAGAAAGGAGTAGGGGTCGCTATTTCGTTCAGCTTTTGTTGTAAAGCCCTGTAAAAGAGTTTAAAGAACTCACATCATTTAGTGTAACTATTAGCAACACCACCTCATTCATGTTGTCTTTATTGAATCTGTCTGTACGAAATTCAAATATGTTTGTAGTTTAACGCCAAATTCAGCAATTTTCAAATGCCCCATTCAAACCTCATTTCACCTCACCTCACCTATCTTAAAGTATGGTAGTAACGACGGTCTTAGCGCTAAGATCGCTTTGTAGAATGGTGCTCTAGATGCCACTCACACACTCTGAAATGATGGTAATTTTCTAATAAGATGTCATGGTCTCGCTTCCTTTCTTACTCACTGAGAGACTCTCTTCTTACCTTCTCAGAGATGTACTGATGTGGTCACTTTTCTCACACACTCACTCACTTTCTCAGTGAGTGAGTGAGTTGGGTTTAACATCGCTTTTAACAGTATTCCAGTTATATCGCAGCGTGTCAGCTTAATGTGGGAGGAAAGCCCAAAGTGATGCAGGTCTCAGACGTTTACCACTTCAGTGAAACCCACGCGCACGGGTATGGTGTTGACAAACCTAGAAACATAATCCGGGCAAGCCGCGACTCAAACCCACAATCATAGGTTTCTGGCGTGTCCAAAGGACACAACTCTGCACAGCGAATCGCGGCACCTTAGACGACTGGGCCACCAGTGTCCCCCTCACTTTCTCAGAGATGTACTGATGTGGTCACTGTCTCGCTACTCACTGATTGACTGACTGAGGGAAACCCTGAAAGTCACCCACCTCTTCTCCTGTTCCTGCACCTCCCTGAACTTGGCCTGTTGCTCCAGAACTTGCTGCTCTATAAGCTCGTGGAAAGTTGGCTGTCTTTCACGCTGCTGCGCATAGGCCATTTTAAAGGCATTTCCAATGATAGTGTTCAACTCCTCGGCCTGAAACGAAAAGAACGGATATTTGAATGGGACACAGAACTAATACCTCAACATGATGATGTAGGGGCATATTACACCCAATAGGGGACTCAAAACCAGTCTCTTCCGTACAATAAGCCAACACTTTAACCACTCGGCTACCTAACATCACCCGACTGTGCTGGAAGGATCTGTACTTGAGTTGTTTCAGTGAATAAGTGAGTTTTAGTGATATCACGGCATGTCATCTCAATGTGGGAAGAAACCCTGAAAGCACGGCCCCTGATGATAATCAGGTTTCTGGGTGAGGTGAGGTGAGGTGAGGTGAGGTGAGGTGAGGTGAGGTGAGGTGAGGTGAGGTGAGGTGAGGTGAGGTGAGGTGAGGTGAGGTGAGGTGAGGTGAGGTGAGGTGAGTGAGTGAGTGAGTGAGTGAGTGAGTGAGTGAGTGCGTGCGTGCGTGGGTGGGCGAGTGTTTGGGTTGGCGAGTGGTTGGGCGGGCGGGCGAGCGAGCGAGCGAGCGAGTGAGTGAGTGAGTGGGTGGGTGGGTGGGTGGGTGGGCGAGTGTTTGGGTTGGCGAGTGGTTGGGCGGGCGGGCGAGCGAGTGGGTGGGTGGGTGGGTGGGCGAGTGTTTGGGCGGGCGGGCGAGTGAGTGAGTGAGTGAGTGAGTGAGTGAGTGAGTGAGTGAGTGAGTGAGAGTGGTTTTACCACGCTCTTAGCAATATTCCAGCAATATCACGACAGGGGACACCAGAAATGGGCTTCACATCTGGCAGTCTAAGGAGTTTTTGATCCAGCTTAACTTCTGCCAGACAACAACCCCCTTCCATTCAACATGCACTCCATAACATTCTTCTGAAGTCTAATTTCGTTGCATGTTCTTCCAGGGTTATTTTCCACATGAATGCAATACTATTATAAATAATCTATAGATGTAATCCATCGTAAGGGTTCATAAATGAGAGTTCTCTCCCTTGATCACCACAGCCAAAATGATCATATCTCATTCCAAATGGACATGGAAGTCGACCCTAATGTTGACAAAGTATTCATATTTCTCGAATGTCTGTCGAGGGATGGCAGTCTGACATATGGCTGAAGGAGACAGAACACAGGGGCTCATCAGAGCAGCAGCCACTGCTGATAGTAAATATTTAATGATTTCTGCACATCTTGCTTTGAAGTTGGTCGAGTAAAAATACAGGCTTTTTATTGCAGCTAACTATGAGATGGGACTACCAAGCTAATGTTTCTTAATAGGTTGTGGGTAACTCACTCACTCACTCACTCATTCAATAGGTCGTTGGAGCATGGGTAGTCAACTCACTCACTCAATAGGTCGTTAGAGCATGGGTAGTCAACTCACTCACTCAATAGGTCATTGGAGCATGGGTAGTCAACTCATTCACTCACTCAATAGGTTGTGGGGCCATGGGTGGTCAACTCACTCATCCACTCAATAGGTTGTGGGGACATGGGTAGTCAACTCACTCACTCACTCAATAGGTTGTGGGGACATGGGCAGTCAACTCATTCACTCAATAGGTTGTGGGGACATGGGTAGTCAACTCACTCACTCACTCAATAGGTTGTGGGGACATGGGTAATTAACTCATTCACTCACTCAATAGATTGTGGGGACATGGGTAGTCAACTCACTCACTCACTCAATAGGTTGTGGGGACATGGGTAGTCAACTCATTCACTCACTCAATAGGTTGTGGGGACATCATGGCAGTCAACTCGATTACTCAATAGGTCGTTAGAGCATGGGTAGTCAACTCATTCACTCACTCAATAGGTTGTGGGGACATGGGTAGTCAACTCATTCACTCACTCAATAGGTTGTGGGGACATGGGTAGTCAACTCATTCACTCACTCAATAGGTTGTGGGGAAATCATGGAAGTCAACTCGATTACTCAATAGGTCGTTAGAGCATGGGTAGTCAACTCATTCACTCACTCAATAGGTTGTGGGGACATGGGTAGTCAACTCATTCACTCACTCAATAGGTTGTGGGGACAAGGGTAGTCAACTCATTCACTCACTCAAAAGGTTGTGGGGACATGGGTGGTCAACTCACTCACTCACTCACTCACTCAATCAATAGGTTGTTGGAGCACAGGCAGTCAATTCACTCACATCCCTGCACACATCCATGCATGCTTATATCCTCAGGACAGCCGGGGGTAACAACGAATGTTTTTGGATTTAGGGTCGTATTGGAAGTACCCAGATGAGTCCCTTGAAATAGGTCAAATTATTTAGTTTCTAGTATGCAGTCACAGAGTAATACCAAGGGATCTCAAAAATGTATTTGGGGAAGCGTTCTGCGCACACTTTGGCCAGCCTAAATGTTTGTGAGTGGACTCCTTTTTTTCTTTTTTTTTTGACTCTTTGTCCCATGTTTTCCTCCTAGCATTTCTTTGTCTGTATTGAGTCAGCTCTTTCTGCGGATACCACACTGTTTTTACAAATTTGGTCTTGAAGTTTTAGGGGTTGCAGATTTACAATCCCCCAAATCTGGATACTTTTCTTAAATTCAAATGACTATAAAGTTGGTGGTTTTGATATATTTTAGTGATACCGTTGAATGCACATTTCAAAGAACGTTCCATATATCTATAACACATGGTATGGAGTAAGTAAGGGTATGATATATGGAGGAACATCTTCTTTATTACAATTAGGAGCGATTCGGTGTAGGTTGTAACACTGCTCTGAGCACTGTTATCGTCACTCCTAATTGTAATAAAGAAGTTGTTCCTCCATAAATCTTGGATGACACACATGGTATGGTTTCCAAAAGGGGTCACGTGACCAGCTCCTAATGAATTATGGTCGGAAATTACTTTTGAACCCTGTTTGGATGTGCAGTGTGAGTGAGTGAGTGAGTTAGGTTTAACGCCGCTTTTATCAGTATTCCAGTTATATCACATTGTGTCAGCTTAATGTGGGAGGAAAGCCAGAAGTGATGCAGGTCTCAGACGTTTACCACCTCAGTGAAACCCATGAGGACGGGCATGGTGCTGACAAGCCTAGAAACATAATCGGGGCTGAACCGGGATTCTTAACCACTATCATAGGTTTCTGGCGTGTCCAGCGGATGCGACTGCAGAGGGTATTGCGGCGCTTAGACGACTGGGCCACCGGAGCCCCCTGGATGTGCAGAGGCTATCCCCATGTCCACACACATCCACCCACAACGGGTACTACCTTCCCCCTCAGTTCCGGCACAACCGTGTGCACCAACACAGCACCAAGAACCAGGAACAATCAACATTCCAGGTACATATCAGCAATCTCACACCTACTTACACCTGGGATTTACCTGACACCTAGCACCTCGTTATCTCAGATGTGCATATGCAACACTCAACTATCTCACCTGACAACAATGTAGACCAACGTCAGTATTACAAGCCACATGATCATCAACACACAGGTGACATTCCTGTTTGAATAAAATCAGTTCAAATTCTTTTTCCTTCAAATTTTCTTATCGACCATCATGTCGCCATACAAAGGCTCATGGAGAAAATGGAGAATGCTATAGCCTAAACAACATGCATTTTGTTGTGAAAGTAGGAACATACCTGACCACTCCTTACGTTTATCCAATAATGGCATCAAAAACTTCTCCCAGATAATGCTCAGTTATTATGAACTTTGTCCACTCCTGAGGTACATTTTTAAAATATTAAAACACTCCAATCACACGCATGTTCCCAACAGTTACATGAATACAATTGCAGGAAGGGATTTTCTTTCCCATTTATCAATCTTGCCAGTTTATTAAACATATACCTTGGTAAGATTTAGTAAAAGGCAAAGGTCAAAAACAAATATAATCTAAAATAAAAAACTTGAATTAAGTTAGGTCTTTGAAAGGCATTTAGAAGTGATACACATAAGGTGAGTGAGTGAGTGAGTATGGTTTTACGCCGCTTTTAGCAATATTTCAGCAATATCACGGCGGGGGACACCGGAAATGGGCTTCACACATTGTACCCCTGTCGGGAATCGAACCCGGGTCTTCGGCATGACAAGCGAACACTTTGACCACTAGGCTACCCGCCCCGATACACATAAGGAAGAGAATTAATGGATGTCTTTATTATGAGGAACACAACGTTACCTGATAAAGGAGTAAGCATGTACCCCGAAACTTTGTGTTCCTCATAATAAAGAAGTTGACATCCATAAATTCTCTCCCCTGAATTAAGTTATAAAATTTAATATATTTGATTAAAAATGATACAAATATTGCACACCCTACTTTGCATACACTTCCTGTTAAGTGGGGTTATAATGAATCAACGACACCTCCAATGTCATGGATACTTGATCGTCAGTTTGTGAGGTCGCGATATACTACATCAGTGTTGGCTGAAGAGCGCGTTTTTGCGTCTTGGACGCACAAAAATGAGTTTGAACGCACCTGCGTAACATGTGTGGGTCTCGTGGACGCAGTGACTGGGGCGTTATTAATTTCATATCGAATTGACACTGTTATCGTAAATCAAAGACGTACGTCTTTGCGTAAAGGTATTTGTTGCCAAACAAGACCGGGAAGCATGTTGATTAACACTTCCGTTTGCTAAACCAAACCAGTTTCATTATTCTCTCCCTGTTTATGACAAATACCCAAACCGGTTTCTTGACCTATATCTATTTTCGGTTTTGCATGTATTAATGTTTGGTATGGTCCGTAGCTTTGCTTCAGCCAATCAGGTGCCGCATATTAAGCAGGTCGGATATAGTCGTAATTCATTTAGCTTGATTGGTCGAAAATTTCCCGACCTTGTGTCAAACTAAAAATAGCCCGGCACATGAAGGGTATACTTCAGAACGTGGTAACAGTGACCCGCGAAATCGAGCGACCGTGTAGGATGGTACGCTATGTTATCGCAGTAGATTGAAATGGGGCACGCTTATAACCTTATTAAATATGTGATTCAAATATTTTTTGTTCATTGGATTGATCGATGCTGATTTTCTTTACCGAGTTTGGTAAACAAG